CCTACAAATTCAATAGTGTGTCCTCCTGCAAATCTCAACTTATCGATAGGACAATCTTATTTCACTTCCATCATTTAAAGAGGAGGTGACGATATGACAATGCCATATAAAATTATTAATATAGTTTTTCATAGTTGTCAAATTGATTTTAATCTGGACCACTCATTCATATATATAATCTGAGGTTATTAAGCTTATTAAATATGTATATTTCTATATTCTATACACTTAAAACACTTCCTTATTATGAATTAGTGAAGTATCAATTTGCTCCATCCTCATAGAACATAATTTTGTATGGCATTATGAAACTAAACCAAGTTAGGCAGTAATTATTATAATGCCACTTGGATACTTAAAGTTGTAATTGTAAAATATATATAATGAAATTTCATGTTTGGTTAATTCCTATAAAATTCCCTAGGTGAAGTAATGTAGTAGTTCTGTAATATAAAGTTATAATACTGAACGATATAATATGGTTTGCCCATTTTGCACAAATTAAATTGTTTTCTAAGAGTTTTCTTTCCATTGAATCTAAAACTTTTTGAATTTCTTCCATATTAAGCTTGTGCAGCATTTTGAAGCCAGAGGAAATTGTAGATGAACACTGTGATGCACTATGTAAAAGTTGATAAAATCAAGTCGTGAATGGTGCATGTAGAACTGAGAGAATATTCCAACTTTAGCCATGTTATGATGGGGAAGTTAGAAGGATAGAAGTAAAAAGGGATTATATATAAAGAATAAAGATGTTTGTCTTGAAGGGTGCTGAGGCACATCAACAAGAGAACGAAAAGCAAAAAATCAGCCCAAGAACCAGAAACCCCGGCAGCCCTGCTGCTGTGTAGGTCAGCAGCACAGAGTGTCTGGTTCTTAGGCTGGTTTTTGGCTTCTCATCAACAGCATAGCTTCTTCTTGATGTGCCTCAGCACCATCATAGCCCAGGTCCACTCCCTCTTGGTAATCTTCAGGACAGACATACATTACATACAATCCCACTGGTGACATGACTAAAGTTGGAATCTACATCACCACCCACCTCGTCCCAGAGCACATAACTCCATGGCAGCTTCATCTCACTCATGGTACTTGCACAAGCGAGCACCATTGACACGAGTTGGTAAGAAGTTCCCACTGAAATCTTCAAGCTGGACTGAGCCGTTAGAAAAAACTTCAACAATGCAATATGGCCCAAGCCAGTGAACACGTAGTTTCCCATGCTTTTTTCAGTGCTTGCTATCATACAGCAGAACCACCAGCAGAAAAATGTTTAGCACGCAAATGACGATCATACCATTGCGGCATGCTTCGCGAGCTTGGAAAGCGAGAAGTCGACGCTCGTCGAGGTGTAGAAGCATGTCCAGTCGAGCTTGAAGTGTGTTGTCCCAGTCCAAGTTGTCCAAGACAGCCATACGGAGAGAGGGAATCTCGAGCTCAAGCGGCAGGATGGCTTCTTGTCCATAAACAAGATGGAACGGTGAAGCTTTGGTGGTGACCTTGTAAGCAACGTGGTATGCCCAGAGTGCATCGAGCAAACGGTGATCCCAATCTGTGCGAGAAGCACTTGCGAGCTTCATGGTGATGTCACACATATCTTGTTGGTGCGCACCAAGCACGAGGGTGGTAGCGATGAGCGATGCCATACTTCTCCACCAAGGTCTCGATCACTTGATTGATGAAGTGAGTATCTCGGTCACTCACCAGCTCCAAAGGGCAGCCAAATCTCATGATGATGTTCTTGTAAAGAAAAGTCGCAACCTTGGCTGTATCTTCCGTGAGAGCTTCAGCCTCGGCCCACTTTGTGACGTAGTCCATGCAAACGAGAATGTAGCGACAACAGGAAGGATGACTGGCCGGCTTGATCGGTCCCACAAAATCGATGCCCCACTTCTCAAAAGGAAGCACCAGAAGCAGAGGATTAAGCGGCATCAGATCGCGGTGAGTTGGGCGACCAGCACCCTGGCAGGGATCACAGGTCTGAACATAGGTAGCAACATCCTTGTGAAGCGTTGGCCACCAATAGCCAGCTTGAAGAACCAAACGAATTGTTGCCTCAGATGAAAAGTGGCCTTAAGGTGAATTATGGCATGAAGTGATGACATTGTGAGGAAGGATACAGCGGCGTAGAACGTCGTCACGCGAGGATGTAGAGCTGGCCATGCAGGAGAGAGTATGGACGAGCCTGGATAATAAGTCGCTTGCGTTCGGTGGCAGTAAAGTCAGCAGGGAACTCGCCGGTAGCCAGATAATCTGCTATGCCTTGATACCATTCAGGAATAGCGTCGGCCGCAAAGCGATCGTGGTGTCGCAAGAAAACAGAGCAGCACCAGCTGGGTCATCCTCAAGATCCTGGGAGGAGGGAGGGCATGGCAATCGTGAAAGATCGGCCATGGCATGACCCTGCAACCGCGCCCGAAACTAACTCGAAAATTCTGCAACTGCAATTCTTGTCTCGAAAATTCGACTTAGCATAAGTAGTTTTGCTAAAAAATGGCCCATGTGAGTGTGAGGGTGTTCGAGACTCTCGAGTGTACAAATTCGCAGCTACTTACGATCACGCTTTGCAAAGGACATCGACGTGGTCTATCAAAATCACCTGAGCACCAAGCAATACACAGCATTTCAAAGGTACGTTCAAACAAGATGTTCAAGGTACGTACCCATCCAGAGTATTATCACTTGCATCAGCGGGCCTGGAGATATGCCCGCGGAGTGCTCAAAGCCACTTCTTGTCGCTTCTCACATGAGTGTTCTTGTGGCCGAACCTCTAGAAGTTGCTCTAGAGCTGTTCCTGAAGGGCTGCTACAATGGCTATGTGGATGCTGGGCATAGGGGGGAATTCATAGTGAAGCTCGTCCTCCTGCAGCTTGTTGGAGCTTGTACAAGGGTGACTACTACCTATGCCGCATTCCTCCCCGGGATTATCTCTGACGATTGCTGGGCTGGGGGAGGCACAGGTTGACGAGGCATGCAGCGGTCTGGATGAATCCGCTGCGGTCTCTATTAACAGTTTAAATGCTGGTTAAGCAGGGGGAGTTGAGCAGCTGCGTTGTAATCATGTACAAAGCCAACAATAACGTGCAAGTCATAGCAATCCAAATCAAAGTGGTGACAGTCCTCATCAGTGTCCAAGAACCAAAGAGCTAGTGAGCTGCATAAGTCTTACTGGCAGGATGACGAAGCTTTGGCAAGAAGACAGTGCACAATAAACAATTTATGGTTTTGAACCCAACTTTTGTTTCCTTGGTGCTAAGACGAAGAAACTTCTGGTTTAATTTTCAATTGCAATGCCAGATACATAGGTGGAGGCTGGAAAGCAATTAGGTGAAGCCAAATCATAGCTCCATCATGACATGACATCACCAGAGTGTAAACACACTTTAATTTGCTCATAATAATGCTCATTAATAAGCTAATATATGGCTATGAGCTTCTTAAGTATTCCATGAGTTTAAGTTTACCTTTGGTTTGGATGCTTTATATTTTTTATTTCTTGGAGGATATACAAGATAAATTTGAGTTGACAAAGTTAAACATGAAACAAACTCAAGAACAAGATAAAAGATTAGCTAATGAACATTATCATCATCAAGAGTACAAAGTTGGTGATAAAGTTTTCCTTAAGTTGTTATATGCAAAATGGTCTTTGAAAAGAGGTGGTGGTGCTACATTGTCTTCACAATGTTATAGGCCTTAGACAATTTCATAGTGTGGGGGATTTTGTTTGCATTTTGGACTTGCTAATTAATTCAAAAATTCATCTAATGTTCCATATAAGCAAGTTTAAAACATATTTACATTCTGGTGATGTTGTGGATCAATCCATCGTCTAAATCTTAAAGATTGATGTTAAGAAGGCTAATTCAGCCAATATTCTTACTTATTCTTCTATACTTTTAATTCTATACTTCCATACTTCTTATTCTTGTTGCTGCTGCCAGGTCTAGTGTTGCTCAGCACTTTTGGCTTTCATGGCAAAATACCTGGTAGGGGGTTCATATTATTTTAGTCAAATCAGCTTGCACCTGAATTAGTCCTGCAAAGGTGGCAAAACAGACCACCACAAGAATTGATCATGGCAAGCAGTCCTAGTCCTGCAAAGGTGGCTGCAGTTTTTCGCCATGAAAGGAGTATCACCACCATTTTTTTTTATATGCTCAAACAGCATGTTTAACACAATGCAGCAAATTCTACATAACCTCTGCTTCGGGAGTTTGCTGTGCAGATCCCATCATGGATAGTCAATTTATATGGTTTGGGCCAAATATATTCCTTGGGCTGATTAACAATGGTTATGTTCCAATTATATATAAAGAATCGATAGACGTCAGTGGAGAAGAGGAAGGAATGATCGATCAAATCTCGATCCACAATGGCGCTGGTAGCACCGAGTCCGGCGACTCGGGTTCTTTAGGATCCAGCTTGTGATCGTGAAGCCTCGATGATGGATGGATTGGAATTTTGATGGATGCCAATCCACCCACGCGAACAGCCACGAAGAAGCTCGCGTACATGTTTACTCTGTCCATGTAAGCCTTGCTCGTTGCTACTTGGATCACTGCGCAGAAACAGTTGGTTTTTAGCTTCCAAAAACAGTTCCAAAAAGGAAAGAACTTCGAACCTTTGAATCCAGATTTCTCGATGCAATTGGCGTAGCTTGGAGATCGCGACGCACTGCGCCAGATCACGCGGCCTCCAGGCTAAAAACCAAGTGGAAATCACAAGTGTGAGGTGATCGAGGGTGTGGAAATTCGCAACTACTTACAATTACATGTGCTTGCAGCGCTTTGCAAAGGACATCGACGTCGCTTTGTTCTAGCCAGTCGACGTGGTCCATCAAAATCACCTGAGCACCAAGCAATACACAGCATTTCACCAAACAAGAAGTTCCAGGTCCGTACCTTGGTGTACATTCGCTTCGAAAGCTCCTCCACAAATGTGGCTGTCCGGATCAACAGGCACTCCTCCGCAGCAAGGCTTGTCTGCAACACAGCTCAAAAGTCTTGAAATCCATGGCAAGTCGTTCGTGTGTAGTACCTTGAGTTTGTGGAAGTTTTCCTTTTCCAGGAAACGAGGACAGCAGTTGGATGAAAACTTCCCAGTCAGGCAGCAGCGGTAAAAGTAGTTGCTGTCCCGGAGATGTGAATACGCAGCTGTTGAATTTAGACAGCGGACAATGTAGCTGTGAAAACAAAGGACAAGTGGTTCAATGAGAATCACGCCTGAGAACGATGTCTTACTTGTATAAGTTGCCCTCCTTGCGTAGCAGACGAAGCTGGCCTTTGCACACTCCAGCACAAAACCACATCGTGAATCTGTTGGTCACGAAGAAAGATACCATCTTCGCAAAAATCCCAGCTTGTGATAGCCAGTTTCCTACACAAGCGAACCTGCTCAGGCAATCAAAGTGAGACAGTTACTTTTGGTGCATGCGGATGCATTATACCAGAGCTCTCTTTGTTGTTGTAGCGTGGGCGCATTAACAAGAGACTCGATGAAGCGCTCCTGTGAAGAAAAACAACAGATTCAGATAACCTTGCTCAAAATTTTGGCTGGAAGAACCTTTCGTGTAAGCCTTGCAAGCGCCCTTACTGCTCGAATGAGTCGACCCATACCACCTGCATAACTTTGTAGATTAGAGGCATCATAGCATAGAGTAAGTTCCATGTTACCGTGGTAGTACAATCCATCCTTGAAGTACCTGGCTTTTTTTCTCCTGGAATAAATAAACACAGCTCTTCACACGGAGATATAAGAAAATTTGCTACTTACCAGAAATTCACAGCCCCCTGGCTAAGAAAGGGAACGAGTTCCTTTTCCAGCAAACTTTCGAAGGTTGGATGTACGCCCTCTCCAAACATTTTCCAGGCATCCTCAAAAGAAAGCCTGCACAGTTCAGATGTGAGGAAATCAAGAATTTTCAAGAGGCTTTACCTCGTTGTTGCCAGACGCTTAAGTTCAAGAAGGTAGCTTTGAGCAGGATTCATATCAACAGCAACCACTTGTTTCGCACCCTGACAAAATGTGGTGGTGTTGAGATTATAAACTTCAGAGGGAAGAGAAATGACTTACTTGAAGGACTAAATCCAGAGCATTGCACCCTCCAGAAGTAAGTGTCAAGACAACGTCTGATGGATTAATGTCCAAAACCTTCTCATCTTCACGAGGATCTTCCCACGACAAGGAGTACAGAAATGTTGGAGGGAACGAGCTTGGACGTTTGGCTTCCAAATCATCCGAGGCCCTTATCGGAAACCGCTGCAAGTTTTGATCTGAAAAGATAATGAATGAAAAGCTAAGCTGCCGACAATCAACACTAGTACGAGCCCCCCTTTACCATGGCGTCCGATTTTTCGACCAATCCAGATGTAGTAGGGAGCCTCCAACACTGGGACATAAGGAATTCTCCCACTGCCATTAAACTCACAAACTAAAACAAAGCCAGTGCATTAAGCTTTAGAAAATGAAAGCACAAACCACGACATACCACACCTGGTTCGAGCTTGTGTTCCAGGTAGGTTCTGCGCTCCGGCCCCAAGTCAATGCCATCCAAGTCAAACACGGATCTCCAAAACCAGCGGTTAAGCCACGAATGCTGACGGTTGGGCTTATCATACTTGGCGGAGGTGTAAAAATCTGTCACACCCATGATCCCGTCATCCGCGAGATAAGTCAACGCCTTGTCCACCACTTTCATGAATGGTGGGATCACTGCAAAAGAATAAACAGTCCAATCGATTATAAACGAGCTGCGACAGTTACACATCGAAACTGCCAAAGGAAACAATATAAAAAGTCCAGCAATGCGAAAAAACTGTTGATCAATGAAACACACGCACAGAAAAGACCAACTGTCGATGTAACAAGCAACGAAAGCAAACGCAGCGAAGAGACAAAGGAGAAAAGAAGTTCTCGTACAAACACTTCACTTACTTGACAATGAATAGGAGAAGGTCACAAGTGTCGCGGCCTGGCCTCGGGGCTGGAACTCGCATGCGTCGCCCTCAATCACGTCGACGTTACTCCAACCAAATCTTTTGGACTTTGCCGCCGCCACGTTGCACAGCGCCGAGCAAAGATCCACGACGTAGATCTTCCGGAACGAGCTCAGGTCCATGTACTTGGACATCATCTTGACGTTCTCAGCAGTGCCGCCGCCCAAGTCAACCCAGACGAGGTCGGATGATCCGCGGAGGCGCGCCGCGCAAGAAGCCAGCATCTGCTCGCGGCCGTGGAGGAATCCCGCGCGGAAGTGATCATCTGGAGGAGGGAATCGTGAGAAATTTCGGCCGAGGATGGAAATATCGGAAGATTTTGGGGGAAAAGGGAGGGACTGGAACTTACATGCATTGGCCTGGGAGCTGTAGAAGGAATCGAGGCGCTGCTTGTGCGATTCCCCCTTGATCCTCCCAAACCACATTGTGGCCAGGCATCGAAGATCCTCCTTCCAGCACCGCGTCTTGCTCGATTCCTGGAGCTTTTCCATCACGCACACGGCCCCGGCGGTGATGCACAGCAGGAGCCATATCAGGACGATCATAGCTCGGCTCGCGGCAGAGCAAGGAGAAATCAATGCCGCCGCGACCGCGCGCTCCCGAAATCCCTGCTGAAGAATCGATCACAATCACAATGCGCCCAGTCGTGACGATCGATCGAATCGCGGCACAAAAGAAAGAACTGTAAAACCCTACAAATTATTTCTGAGCGTTCGGACCAGTATAAAAGGCCGGAGCAGGCATATTCCACCACCAGATGCTAGTATATTCGCAAGGGAATGTTCCTTGCTCGATATTATTCTCTGACCCTTTGGACCACACCTTTCTTTTTGAAATTTGGAGTGGCTCTATAATTGAATTTCTTATTTGCTGTACTTGTTGGCACAAGCATCAATTTGCAAGGCAGTTGCAAACAAAGGGTCCACATGGGTATATGCTGGGATAATGGTCCTGACATATTCTATTTTCTAACAGTTCTTTATGATGAAAGGAAAAAGAAACCAGATAAGACAAATCTATACCATTCAAAAGAACTGGGTAAAATCGCAACCGCTCCAAGAGTGTTTGGAATATTCTTAGGGCGCCATATTTTAGGGTTCTTCGAGCGCCCGCTGCGCGAGCGCGAGAAGACATTCCATCGTCTTGACATGCCTGGTGAGTCCGAATTCCCCCGAGAAGGTGTAGAAATTCTCCACGTCCGAGATCGTGTCCAGCATTTGTCTTAGATGCATTGCAATGCCCGCTTCTTGGATCTCTCGCTTGAATCTCTCGCTGCTTTTGGCGAGAACCGTGAGCAGCTCCACAGCGTAGCGCCTGAGCCGCAAGAGCTTGTGGGAGGGCGGTGGTCGGCGTAGAATCCCCGCGATTTTGTGCGCTAGAGCTCTCGAGTCGATGTGTTTGTCTAGAGAGGATTTGTTTGAGTGTGGAACTGTGGCTGCTGCTAGTCCTAGAGCCGCTTCTAGCTCTTTTCCTTCCGCGACAAGGATAAACTCTAGAAGTTTTGGCGTGGAGGTCGCCACTCTACGCGCTTCCTCCTGGCTCAAAAACGCACAGAGGTTGCGAAGGATCTTCGCCGCGCGAGTCGCGAGCTTTGGATTGTCCGCGAGCTTGGCGATTATCTGGTCCAGAGTTTTCTCGTCGCCTCTACACATTCTCCGACAGTTTCCCGGGCTTCTCAGCGCCAAGACGTTGAGTGCTTCGCCAGCTTTCTGGCACAAACGTAGCTTGCTGTTTGCAGTCGCTTGTTCCGTGCCTTGTAGAAAGATCTGGAGGATGTTCCGGATGATCCCACCCGTGCTGCCGATGTTTTCTCTCGCGCAGTCGTCCAGAGCCAGGTTCGTGAGGATGTCGAGAGCGAGTTCTTGTAGAACTGGATGGTTTTGTGCGTGCTCGAGGATGTTTCTTAGGTGCCTGATCGTGAACACCACCTTTGCAATGTCTTCTCGCAAGAGCTTCCCTTGGTAGCCTGTTGTTGTCGCCATGCGTTTTAGAATCTGGAGCGATTTCTTCAGCACCTTAAGCTCATCTCTTCCCTTTTTTTTCAGCTCGAACCCGTCCTTGATCTCGATCAGAGTCACGAGAATCGGTAACATGCCGCCAGTGTTTCCAATCTTGATGCAGTTTTGCTGATCCGTGGCTATTCTCTTCAGGATTCGCAGACCAACCAGGCGAAGCTGGCGGTCATGAAGAAGGGAGGCAATGTTCTCCAAAGCTCCAGCGATGGCGATGATTCTAAACGAGACGCTCTTCTGGCAGGCAACTTGGCAAACAATCTGTGCAGCCACTCGTTGGATATCTTCCTCGTACTTCTCTTTCCAAGTAAGCATTTCTATCAGCCGCTCTATAACTCCCGGTTTCGTTCCGATTCTCCTCATCGTCTCCTCTGCAAGGTCCTCCCGTTCTAGAAACGCTAGCAGGATACAAGCGCCCCCGAGTTGCTCCCTTGCGTTGTTCTCCTGGAGATCATCCATTCCATAGGCCACAAGATCCATGCCGAGTCCATCGAAAACACTGCCTTTGAGACAGTCCGAGTATACTTCATAGTAAAAGCGCTTGACGTTGTCGATTTGATCCGTCCCGAGCCGGCACTCCCGAGTCACCCTAGAAACCAGTCCTTTGTAGCCAACTTGAAACTCCCAGTAAGCTCTCTCCGCTAGAAAGATCAAGGCCTCGGCAAGGACGAGCGAGTAGAAAATACCGAGAGCGTAGTCTTGGTTCTTGTTCTTGGTGGAAATTCCGCTGAGCTCTGCAGTGGAAAGTCGAGTGACCGACAACCCAACGCAGACGAGAGCCGACGCGAGTTGCATGACGTAAAGGAGAGCACTGATTCGGTTGGCAGTGAAAAAGCTTGCGCCTTGATCGCTCGAATTCTTATCTGACAACTTTGTCTCGGGCTTGTGAGCAGGGACTAGATCCGGCTGCGAGGAACTTCCAAAGATGGTTGACCGGGTATGGTTTATGATCGACTTTGCTCGTGTTCTAATGGAAATCCTCGGTGCAGCTTGCTGCCACTCCAGCTCGTGGCTCCGGCTGAAAACTCGCGTCCCCTCGGTGAGCAGCAGCACGGAGATGATCCAGAAATCCCTGGCCTCCAGGCTGGTGACGAATCCCCCAAGCAAAACCACCGTCGCCCAGACGAATGCCACGACTCCCAGCCCACTCGCGGCCTTCTCCAGCACCGAGAGCCTCAAAGCTACAAGTATGAGTTCGTGCTCCGGTGGTGGTGGCGATGGCTTTCTCACACTCTTTTCTCGCAGGCTGCCGGAGGAAGGCGCTGCTCCAGCGGGCGAGAACGGGGACTCCATCTCTATGCTCGTCGCTCCTTGCTCGTGGAAAACCATCGCTCTGCCAGCCTCGACATCTCTCGAGAAGATCAAACCCAACGACGACATTCTTCTTCCTTGGAGCTCGTTTGCTCCAGGACATGGTTTTATGTTCGTGCATGGAAATCTGTGGAAGCGGCCAGGGAATGTTCCGAACGTTCCTTGCGGTGAAACGAGCTGTCACTTCAGCGTGAAGTTAGCTGCTGGTTTCGTCAAGAACTCTTTTCTACTGTTAAACAAGTAAGCTTTTTGTTGATCCTGTCAAAAACGACAATCTTTTTTACTTATTTTTTCTTTTGCAGTGCTAGGTGCCAAAAAACGAAGAAGGAGAAAAAAATGAAAAACCTGTATGGTGCTTCCCACGAATGGTGGGAGCTTTTATTCGTCCGGAAGAGAAGGTTCGTTCGGCTCTTCCTTTGTAGCGTTCATTCGTTTGCTGTTTGTTCTTACCAGGCCTCGACTCTCTCGACGTGTTGATCGATTCTATTGACGAGGCTACCTCCGCGAGCTTTGGAGATGCTGGACTGCTTGGAGTGGGACCTCGCGCAGTGGGAGTAGTCATCGTAGTGATCTTCGCGGCCCCTGGCGTTTGAGCTCGAGTTTAAGTTGGAGTTCGCGGGATTCAAGCTCGCCACCACCCTCGACTCGCTGGTGGCGTCTCGGCGAGGGGGCGGCTGGAGCGAGAGAGGAGGCCCCGATTCCAGCAGAACCTCTTGCCTGTCTCGAATCGTCCGGAGGATCAACGTTTTGAGGAGATTCATCACTTGGACGGCGTGCATGAGCGCTGTCAACGGATCTGCCATCTGAACGGAGCAGAATAAAAATTAAAGAGATGAGACAGTGAGAAGCGAAGGAACAGAAATTCTAGCACTTGCAAATCTACTTGGGAAGACACCCAAAAGCTCACGAATCGAAGCCACGCCAGGGACAAACGGGAATTTTCAAAGTCCCGCATATCAATCAGTCGTTTGAAATGCCTGAACGGACTAAAGCGAAGCTCTGGAGAGCTCTGCGAGAGCTCAAAGAACGAAAAAAAGGAGCGACAAGAAAGGAAAAAAAAAAAACCGAGACGAGAAAACAAAGACTCGCGACGACCAAACAAATCCAAATGCTGTCCGGAACAAAGGATAAAAAACAAAGCATTTCCAGGGAAGACTTGACTGTGTGCTCGGCGAGAAAAAGATAAAAAGAAGAAGACGGCTCGCGAGAAATTAAAAGTAGAAAAAAGCTTGCCTGTGTCATGTTTGGTGCGAAGACCATTCCAACGTTGCGAGCGTTCATCTTGTTGAAAGCCTCCTCCTGCGCGACGTCGGCCATGAGATTGATGGCCCAGTCGAGAAGCGCTGCTTGCATGGGTGGGAGCAGCTTGATCACCGCAACGCACTGCTCCTCGGTGTGGCACTGCATCACTTGCTCCGGCGAGAGTGTGTCGAGAACGCCAGTTGGAAGCTCTCGGAACCAAGCCTGTTTAGCACCAGTGGATCCGTCGATCAGACAAGCTAGAGAATACAAGGAAGGAGAACTTTGATATGTACCTTGATGAGACCAGCTAGGCAGTGGAGATCAATATGAAATGGTACGATGCCCTTGTTGAGTTGCTCACGCACATGCTCTTCATGGCTGTTCTCAGCATTTATGCGGAAGATGCCTTCGGCCTGGAATAACAGAAACGAAGAGCAAAAGTAAGCAACAAAGACGAGGAGAAAAGAAAAAGCAATAAAATATTGCGGCTACTCGGACTAATTCTCGAGTACTTCCAACACCTGAAAGCGATGGAAGGAATCCATAAAAGCTCAGGTCTCACCTTGAGTCCACCGAGACTGTAAAGCCGATCTTGCATCCGGAGCAGAATGGTCGGTACACTATTGCCCCTGGAATCGTACGAGCACTGCATGGACTCGGGAGAAACACCGAAAACATTCGCACTGCCAGGTAAAACAACAAACGCGAACTTAGTACATTTCCACATCTATAGAGAACCACCACCAAAACTAGAAAAGCATAAACAAATGGCAAACTTCGAAAACCACGAAGAACAACAACACCAAGAACAAGGAGTACTGTATAGTCAAAAACCAAACAACCAAACAAACGGGAGTACAAACCAAGCAAGAAAAAAAAAACTAGAGAAAAGACCAAAGGAAAGAAGATCAAAGGTACGTACCTGGCGCTGGGAGCTCGTCTCGGGATTTCCACCTCGAACTCCACGGGAAGTCCGAGAAAACCATTGAATCGATCAAAGGTGACGTGCGTGACATGCCTCACGTTGGTCGGCCAGCTTATGTCCATTCCATTGCCGGAGCCGCCACCTTCGTGATCGTCAATGGTGGCGCAAGTGAGAAGCGAGCGGCGGAGGGTGGTGAGCATGAGAGCGATGACCGGAAGCTGATCTTGGTCGCCATCTTTGAGCTCGATCTCTTGCCGGAGATCCATTTGATCTCTCCGCCGCATGATGTGTTCTTCGTAGTCGAGCAAGTTGCACATACTCTCGTGCCGCTGGTGGCTTTGATTCTGGCGATGGATCTCTCCTTCTCCCTGTTCTTCCTCCTCTTTTCTCTCATGGCGATCGCTCTCCAGCACCGCCGAGAGCGTCGAGGAGTTGTAGTTCGCGGAGGAGCTGGCGGCCGCGAAGTTTGGAGGTGGTGGAGGAGGATCGACGTAGGAGAAATCCGCGGAGCTGGCGGGATCGATCTTGCCGAAGAGCCGGCTCTGGGCTTTCAATCTCAGCTGCTTCATGTAGCCCGCCCACGGCCTGGAAGCGATGGATCGATCGAGTTAGAGACTTTTCTTCCATTCTAGAATCTACATAGTAGTTCTCAAGAACAAAGGAATGATATAAACAAAAAGAGAGAAAGAAAGAGAAGGAAGAAGCCAAGGACAGCAATGGATGGGACAAGAAATCCAAGCTATGAATTGCTCGCAAACAAATCCAATTCCAGCGCAAGGAGATCGCTACTGACAGCTTTAATTTGGAAGAAGAGCCACGAAACCAGACCAAGATCCTCATTGCTTCGTGTGTCAGCCAGCCAGCGAAGAACGTAGAATCACGCGAGAATTGGGAGAAAGAGAGAAGATTTTCGCGATTCCTTAAGAGATTGCCGAGGAAACGCTCAAGAACAGCGATCTTGGAAGATTGGCGAGAATGCAGGTAGAAGAGCGAATTGGAGGGAGCGATTACATACCTGGAGCCGACGCCGTCGACCGCCGGGATTTCCAGCTTGGTTGTTGGAATGTCACCGATTCTTCCTTGTCTTTGTCGCAAGGAAAAAGAAAAAACCCTCTAGAACGCGCCCGGATTGAGCACCAAGAACTCCAAGAACAAGAACAAGAAAGAAAGAAAGAATATCGGCAAGAACAGCGATGGGAGGGTCCCCTGTTCTTTCTTGCGATGCTCGTCTACTCCCTGGCAGCGGGGAAGGAGGCGAGTATTTGAAGAACGAGCGATCACTCGATCGACTGGTGGATGAATCTGGAAGCAAGCCTGGTGCCGCGCGCAATTGATTCGATCTTTAGCGGCCTGGGTCCACTCAATCGAGGATTTCTTGCGGCAGCGGCCATGAATCAGCCACAAAACATCAAAGAAAGCGAAAGATTTCTGTGAGAGCGAGAGGGAGAAAGAGAGAGCGCAACAAGGCGGTGAGATCAATCCATCAGTCAATCGAGAAGGAGGAGCTTCTACACCACGCCATCATCTAGCAGAGACTCATTGTTGGATCGTCGGCGGCATCTATCTCTCTTTTCTTTCAATCTTGCGCCTTCCGCCATAGCCAAACCTCCTAGCTACGATAAAAAATAAAATACATACATACACATGCCCATACACATACATGACATGGGCATGATGGCAGCCACGTCGGCTAAAATGGTTAAAAAATTAGCATTTTTTACCCTCTTTTAACAGCCATTAATGGAAGCTGTTAAAACACCCGCGCTCCATAATATAAACGCCGCCGGTGTGAAAACGACTCCTACCAGACTGGTAAAAACGAACGGGGTATAAGTACGGCAGCCGGACCAGTCCACGTCATGGGCTCATTCGATCGTGGAAGCCAACCACCATCAGCATGACCATGCTATGGCCATGGGACCCATTCATCCCAGGCGTCCACGTGGCAGCCAGCCGAATGAATGCGCGAAACTTGGTAGGGAATCCACCTTTAGGGCAGAGGGAGACAGAGAGAGGGCAAAATAGCGCATGGGCGAAATTAATTGGTTCGTAGCTGGATAGTGGATTTTTTTCTCCCCATCATCGCCGATTCATCAATCTTCCGTGTAAATAACGCCGCGGATGATCCAACAATCCCCCGGCATCAATTCTTACATTTGCACGACGAAAACGAACAAATGCCGCGAGCTACACGCATCCCCTGTTTTTAGGGCTTCACAGAGCATAATTTGTAAGAATATTCGTCATTTTTAAAAACATTTAGGCAGTTGCAATTAGGGCAGAAAAACTTATATACATTTGGCTCTGGAGCAAGAAAACAGCGCCCCAAAGGCTGCTCTACCTGCTTCTCTTTCTCTTTCTCTGACCGCCTTTCCCTTTTTTCTTGACACCCATGACCCATCTCTTCTCTTGCAGCAGTCACCACCACCTAAATCACATATAGAGAAGAACCATTTCAAAAGATGAAAGCGAGGGTAAGAGCAAACTTCTCCAAAGTTCATGGAACTCACCAATGGGTGGCTCTAGTTTCACATAGAAGTCACTTGACCACGAGTAACACCAAATTTTTCGTGCCTCAAACAATTTTGCTTGTAAGGTTTTGTATAATCCCTATGGGACATTAGAGAATGTACATACACATTTCACTCGCCTCCAAAAGCTCACAACAGAAGCTCCAAAAGGATCACACTCGCGACATTCCGCCACCTGGAGAGATTTTCCCAAAAGTGATGCAGTGCTTAGAGCAATCAGTCAATAAATTCCCACCTTATTTCTGACTTGGGCGATTGCTACGGCCTCTCGTTTGTCGGATCCTCTGTTCTTCGCAGCACAAAGAAGCTGAAAAACCAACTCATCCCACAGCCCAGCCAGCCAGATCTGTGGGTGGTCCCGACACACAAATTAAGACGCTTCCCAGCAAATAGCTAGCAAGCTTGGATGCTTCCCATGAAAACCCGAGAAATCCTGAATTCATTTCTGTAGCCTGTAGGTGGTCGATCAATAACGACCACCATCACACACCGCACGACGAGTCGACGATGCAAGCAAGCGGTGGTGGTGGTCTTGATGAACGACGCCACAAAATAACCCAGGCACGGAAAGAAAGCCTGCCAAAGTTCCCGAGGAAAGAACTCCAAGCCTCAAGCAAGACAACTGACCAGTCCCTCCGCGGTGAAACTCTGAGAGAACGAAGCCGTGGACTGAAAAGACTCTGAGAAAACGAAACAAACACCTGCATGGGCGATAACTCTACACAAAAAACTTCACGACGACACACACCACGACAGGCAGAAAAGCTGCGAAGGGAAGAAAACAAAATGGGAGAAAGCCGAACCTGTTCTGAAGAGGGTTCAAGGACTCGCGACAACAGAATCAGCGGCCACAAGTGGAACTCTGTCTTGCACGATTTGCCATACGCCTTGAAACTCGTCGTCAGAGCGAAGAATGGTCACGACCCTTTCCACTTTGCCCTGCTGCTCTCTGAACGATCTCTGCAGCAATACCATGTACTGATGAATCTCGTGGGGCAGCAGCGCGGAGAGCAAGTAGGGGAGGAGATGTGAATGAGAGGCTCCCATCAAGCTTAGCCCGTCAGCCATTAAAAGTTCCTGCTTCCTAGCATCCACACCGGCAACCTCCAGCGACGGCAACAGCTCTCTCTCCTCGTCAAGGAAATGTTTCACTGTCGAACCCTGGAGAAAACTGAATCAGCTCTAAAACGAAGAAAAAACTGCGAACAAAACAATTACCTTGAGAGTCCGCAGCTTGTCTGCGAGAGCACTTAAAGCTTCAATGTGCGAGAAACTGCCTTGCTCTAAAACCATCACAGTCTTGATGTCTTCTCGGACGCCGTTCATCATCGGAAAATCTCTCGCGTGATCCTCATTTGCAAATTTCGTCACCCCTGCTCAAAGTCGAACCAACAAAATTGTAAGAACATCGATGAAGAGCTAACAGCAGAACCTCGAGAAAAGTTCTAGTACCGGACAAAACTGTGCCAAACTCTCAAAAGTCTTTCCATCTGCAAATGCAAGTGGGAAGATCTCTCAAGTAAAACTTCCTAGCGCTCACATTCAGCTGAAACACACGATACGCACCTCGTTCGGCTTTCTCAAGCGCGGGGAAAATGACCTTCTCCTCCATCTGAGCGTGCTCTTGCATCAAGGCCAGCAATCGATCGTAGTCCCTGGCAGCATTTTTGAGCTTGGTGGCGATGCCAACTTGAATCATCGTTGAGCCCCTTTGCGCCACCTGAGGCTTAGACTTCTTCTTCTGCTTAGATTTCCCCTGGCCGTGGTAGAAATCTCTGACCCCGTCCGAAACGTCCACAAGCCTCTCAAGGTGGCGGACTATACTCAAGTGTTGGAGCACGGTGTAAGCGACTGCTGGAGCGCCCTGCGAGCGATCCTCGAGCTCTTTGCAAGCGAAGCCATGGAGCGTTGCCTTGTCTGCCGAGACTGGAGAATAGCTCGGAAAGCTTCCCATCTCGCGGATATAATCCGCTAGCTTCGTGTTCTCGTCGCCAACGTTGATCCCATGCAAGAACTTGAGAGGCTCCACAAGCTCCAGGAATGGAACCAGGTACACGTCCACCATTGTCATGGCTGCACCCATGAAGAACTTCCCCCCACTGGAATTCTCGGCGATCCCAGCGTTGAGCTTCCCAAATGCCGCGGAGAACTTCGCGTGGAAATCGTTGTCCAGCCTCAGATCCTTGTTCTTCCAGGCCTCCAGGACCAGAGGAGTGAAAACGTCCCTCACGAATGCAATCCACTGCCGGATCTTTTTCTTGAGCTTCCACGATGGGATTAGAGGCGGCTGCTTGAACTTCCTGTCAATGTAGTCAAGGATCGCGTCCGATGAGCCCGAGATCGTGTCCGATCCATGCTCCAGCACTGGAAACCTCTCGAAATCCAGCCAAGCCGATGGATCTTGCAACTGCGGCTCCACTAGATCCGGCTGGATCCCCTTGAACTGCAATGCGATCCGGACCCTCGCAGTGAAAGGCGAGATCGCGAGCCCGGACAGGCGCACGAAATGCGTGCTGCCGGAGATCTCCGCCGCTGGCGCCACCGATGAATTCCTCCTCGCCTCGCAAGGGCATTCTGTTCTTGAGAAGCACGCACCCATCTCGATCGGCGCCGACGAGGAGGGTGAGCGCGAGAGCGTGGCGATCGATGCGATCCTTCCCCAGGGCATGATATTTCGCATCAAGATCCCTCACCCGTAGTCATCGCCTCGAGTCTTGGGCCGATTTGCTCGCTGCCGCAAGAGAATCCTCTTCAAGGCACCGCGCCTCCTCCTCTTTCTTCTTCTTCCTCCTCCTCCTACCCTAGAAGCGTGAAATCCCCGCGATGATTCATCATCCATGATCGCCACCGCTACCACCACCGCAAAAGTGATTCTTGCTGCGCATTGAAGAAAGAAGGGCGGGCGAGCGAACAAACATCCACCGTCAGTTGCGACCCTAGCAAATTCGACGGTTAGGATCACCACAACGTGGCACAGCCATTTCTGCCACGTGGCAGACCTTTTAGCGCTTCATTGTTATCATAAAACCTTTGATCAAGTTTTAGCGAAGACTTCGGAAAAAGATCCATGATTTTATCCGTGGTAAAGAAAAATGGAAGCTAGACTTGATATCTTCAAGCACTCCTTACAAGTTTTTTGTGGACGTGATGCTTGAGCAGCGATGCCATTTCGATCTACACGGAAAAGATTGTCAAGAAAGATCTAGTTTAGCGATGAATGAATGAATTACTCACCGCCGCGATGGCAGCTTCGCCTCCTTTGTTCCCAACTTTGCCACCGGCGCGATCAAACGCCTGCAGAGATAGTGAGATTGTTCCTGGTGAATTGAGATAAAGAATTCTAGACAAACCTGATCCATGGAGTCGCAAGTTAGAATACCAAAAACGCATGGAACTCCTGAGCAAAAAAAAAAAAAAAAACAACAAAAAACTATGAGAGAAAAACCAAGGATTGAGTACCGGAATTCAGCGATGCCGACATAACTCCCGACGCAGCAGAATTCGCCACAGCGTCGTAGTGGCTTGTAGCACCTCTCACCTTCGAAAAAACGAAGAAGAAAAATCAAGAGGAGACGAGGAGAAGAAATCGCACTTACAATAGCACCAATGCAGACTACTGCATCGAATTTCCCCGATTTTCCTAGAGTCTGTGCGACGATAGGAACTTCAAAACTTCCAGGAACCCAGAACACCTGAAGAACAAAGAAAAGAAAAACTAAAAAAAAACGACCACGAGCCCTTTACCTCGATGTGTTCTTCCTTGACGGAGTACCTATGGAAAGCTTCTAGCGCTCCAGCCACCAAAGGCTTTGTGATTATATCATTGAATCGAGCAGCAACCTGGAGTGACACACGATCAATCACGAAAGGAACAAACCAAAGAGAAAAATTTCTACTCACCACAGCGAATCGAAGGCCATCAGCGGCGAGAATGGAGCCCTCGATCTCCTTCACCTTGGCGACGGCATGGATCCGGGCGCTGCTCCATCTAGATCTCACACTGCTGATCTCTACAAGCCAGAATCAGCCAGGATTTCCACAGCGCAGTACCTAGACGCGGAAATTTGCATCCAATCCGGCTGAGCGATGCAAGAGATGGCGGCGAGTTCTCGATCGTTGGCGTCGGGCATGGGCATCCAACAATAGGAGGAGCTCGCAAGGCATCCATCTTTTTAGGGTTTAGGGTTTTTTAGCCCGCAAAAATAGGTAAGGGAGGAAATGCGGGTAGATCCTTGCTGATGGAAGAGGTGAGTAGGTTCTGGAGATCTTCCTCTAGAAATCAAGCTAGAATCTAAATAGAAGAAGGGATTTTCTCTCTAGCTGGTGTGAGCTTAGCGTTTGAATTATACAAATTTCTTTCCTTTGTTATAGGTGAGTTCCTTTAAATTTCTTTCGAGATCCTTAGAACTTTTCCTCTAGATCAAGCTAGATCGAAGAAGGAATTCTCGGCTGATGCTAACTTCTAGTTTCCTTTGAACATCTTGTAGATTAAGAGCGTTGAGCGTGCTACCTATAGTGGTGAGTCTCTATAAATTTCTTTCGAGCGAACTTAGAATCACAGTTCTCTGTTTGCGTGACTCCTTTTATTTCGTTTTGTGTTCCAGACATCACCGTATAAAAACTTCCAAAGTATGACGAGCTTATGGTAAGAATCTACTGTTTTCTTGAGGATTGGAAATTTTTTATGAGACTTGGGATGCTTCTTTCCAGACGAGTCGCGATGCCTTTTATGCAGTACTTTTTTCTTCTCTTGAAAGTTTGACGAACTTGTTTTCTTCTGCAGTGGATCTTATAACCAAAAGATATGGTCTGATCAAGAATTCCAGTCGATCACGATGGCTCTCCTTTGGACTTGTGCACACATGACGCTGTAGTGGTTGCATCTCCAGCACATCTTTTCATATCTCTCTTGGAGTAAGGACACCTTTGTTCGTTTCCGTGAGGTTCTCTTGATTCTGACTTGTTTTTCTTTCTAGTTGAAATCCAGCCATGGAAATTCTATCTCCAAGAGCAACAAAAACGTTTCTTGTGTTTCCGAGGCTGGATAAGCTTAAGTCATGCCACGAATGTCAGCTTTCGTGCGTTTCGTCGTCACGGCTTTCTCGGACCGCATCACATTTTCGTGTAAGCAGCAAAACATTCCATCCTTTATTTCTAGAATTTGGACAAATGTTTTGGCAGTCCAGGAAATCTATCCAAGTCAAAAGTACAAATGCTTTGTCCGGATGACAAAAAATTCCGTCCTTTCCCCAGGTAAACTCCTCATAGCTTCGCTTTTACCTCATCACCAAGTAAGAAAAATTCCCTTTTGATTTTTCCTGGAGATGCTCCACACACTCACAGCTGCTGATTTGATAGAGGGCGCCCTTTAACTCGGGCCTTGGGCAGAGCTCCTTGACGAGAAAGGAAGTCTTGTTATCTGGAACACGCTACACGTATGTATATGTGTCTTGATTACTGTCGCAGTAGCTCATAGCTCTGCCTGCACGCTTTCTATCTCTCCATCTATCTAACTTTCTTCTTTGGCCAGGCAAGTCAAACCGGGAAGCTCTCATCTTTTTCCTCCAAGTCTCCTCCATTATCATGGACGGACCAGACCAGCTCGACACACACAACAACACGACTGAGATTCGACACCCAGCCTTGTCATCTGCGTGCGTTCCTGATTCCAAAAAAGTTGGAGTCATTCGGACAAACAACATAATAGCTGGGAAACACGCCTCGCTGTGTGCTGCTGCTCAGTAGTGGTGGTGCTGGTACGCCTCAACACTCACGACTCTCCGTAAGAATCTCCGATTTTTGCTTTCGAAATCTTTCGACATGTGGTTGAAAATGGCAGGGAAGACGAAAGGATATCAAGGATGAAAAGATCAAAAGAGAGATTTTTCTGGCATCAAAGCTGCGGTGCGTGAGAATTTTTCTCGTTTTTCACTCTCTCTCTCTCTCTCCTCTCTCTCTCTCTCGTTTTCTCGCTCGATTGAGTGACGTATTAACTTGGGCGTATACACAGGTAGCCGGAGGAGAGAGAGAGAGAGAGAGACGCTTTGCTTTCTTCTCGACCGGACCGGATGGCTGGAACTTGGAAAACTTGGAACTCGCAATGTGGAATTTTGGAGCCGTCGCCGACGACGAGGGTCGCTATCCGGGGCTTGCTGGCTTAGCCGGCGACAGCATCTCAGAGGGGGAGCCTTGAGAGGACATTCTTGCGCTCCACAGGTATGTGCTCATAACTGCGACACACTCCCAGCTTAAATTCGCATTCGTAGTCTCGCCCAGTTTGACGAGCTCCGCTTTGACTTCTCCACAGGGATCGATCTTCTCTTTCTCCACTCGAGGATTAAACAAGGAGTAAAAACCAATCAGGGAGGTGAAAAGACTGTGCCTGGAGCACTGGAGCTGTGGAGATGGAGCTGAGAGTTTTTTTGTCACCACCACCACCACCACCACCACCGCGCTGCGCTGCTCGACTCGAGAGGTGAGTGTGACCGCAACTATCATCGCTCCAAATGGTGATTATAATGGTGGAAATTTTCGCAGCGCGAGGGACATCGCAGTACACATGAACCGAGAGAGACTAGCGACGGGTATTTTGATTTTCATGCCGCTCTAGCCATTGCTGTTAAAAGGTTTTAACACCGCGCATTCAATGTGGAGTCCAGGACTAGATGGAGCGAAAAGAAAATCGATCAAAGCATTTGCGCAAAAGATTTGGTAGATTTCCAAAGAAGAAGGAAAGATAACCATTTGGATCTAAGAAAAGAGAACCATTTCTGGATTGCCAAAGAAATTCTATCTGGACTAAATTGCAGAAAACCATTTCTATCTGGATTGCCAAAGAAGAGGGAAAGAGAACATTGGAATTCCCCTGCTTTTAGGGCAAAATTGGTCCCCTGTTTTTAGGGCAAACAGGGAGTCTGGGCATTTATTTAAGCTTGTGCTCCTTTTCTCGCAGATTGGCGGCGGCGGCGGCAGCCAGGGCGATTGTACAGCAGGCGCAGTGCAGTGCTGCCAGTACCGCGGTAGTAGCAGCGCAGGGATGGATTGGATAGCTGCGCAGTAGCAGAGCAGCGCGGTACCAGAGATTTTAGGGATTTCCTTGCCCCCAATTGCATTTCTCGCGCTTTCTTTCTTTCTTTCTCTCTCTCCTCTTTCTTTCGCTGCTCGCTCGTGAATCGAGACTGGCTAGCTATAGGGCTGCCTCTTCTTCCTCCTCAAATCTCTCCTCTATCCTTTCGCGCCCTCTGCTTTGCACGGCACGGCAAAGCACACACAAGACGCGCAGGGCAAGTGGCTGGGCTGTGCTCGCTCCCCGCGCTGCACAGATTTTGTTTGGAGCCAGGAGGCACAGCGGCAGCTCCAATTCCGGCCGCGTTCTTGCTTGCCCAGATTGTCTGGGGCACGGGAGCAAAGCCAATCCAATCTGGCCGCCGCGATTCCGGAAGAAATCGCGCTCGCTACTGCTAGCATGAAGACGAAGAACACAGAGACTCATCCAAAAAATGATTTGATAGGGGGACCAGGGCTAAGATTTTGATAGATTGGTAGATTGACGGCAGCAGCAGCAGGAGCTACAGTAGAAGAGCGAAAGAGATTTTTTCCTCTCGCTCCAGTTTTTTTCTTCTGGTCTTGGTGTTCTTCCTGGCTCCTCTATGCATCCTCGAGTGATTGGTTCTCTCGTCTTGATCAATCAAGCCCAGCAGTGGATCTTGCCAGTGTTTTAAATTTCTTCCTCTCTTCTTTTCTTTTTCCTAAGCTCTGGAGTCCGGGTACTACGATCTGTCGACCGCTATACTTTTCTTTTGGGCATACTCTTTTCTCCCTCCCCTGTTTTCTCGCAGCGATCGCGCAGATCTGGGAAGTGAAGCGAGCAATCTACGCCAAGAATGTAGGTAGCTAGCTATCGGATCGATCGATTCATTCTTTTCTCGAGATTCTCGCGCGGACTGATGGATCGCCCGGGAGGAGAGCTTCCAGATGGATCAGGGCGCTGGGTATAGCGATGGATTTGCCGCGCCCAGAGGAAGATCGGGGGAGGAAATAGGGTTTAGGGTTTTTGCTCACGAGCACGAAGAACAAGAAAGAATGTCCTCCGACGAGGAGCCCGATCGAGACCAGGCACTGATCCCCGGGCTACCGCGCGGCGTGGCGCAGAGCTGCCTCGCGCGCGTACCGCGCGGACTCTACCCCCGCCTCCGCCTCGTCTCGCGCCAGTGGAATCAAGCCCTCCGCCCCGACCAAATCTTCTCCATCCGATCCAACGACGGCATCTCGGAGCCCTGGCTCTACATCACGCTCGCCATGGGCGGCCCCTTCTTCGCGCTGGATCCAATTCTCATGGCCTGGCATCGCCTCCCGGCCTTTCCCGCGGACCAGATCTTCACGGACAACGATAAGGAGTGCTTCGTGGCCGGGCGGGAGCTCCTGGTGGTCGGGCCCTCGTTCTACAACTTCCGGATGCACCCGGTCATCTGGCGGTACCGCGCGGACCGCAACGAGTGGTCTGCGGCGCCGCCCATGACGACGCCGCGGTGCCAGTTCGCGTCCGCCAGCTTCGGCGGCATGGCGTACGTGGCCGGCGGCGCGGGGTTTGGGACCAGCACGCCGCTGCGCGACGCGGAGGTGTACTGCAGCGGCGCCGGGCGCTGGCGCGCGCTACCGCCCATGCATACCGCGCGGAAGGAGTGCTCGGGGTTCGTGATGGACGGCTGCTTTTACGTGATTGGGGGGACGGACGGCCGAGATCAGCCGGTCACGGCAGGTGAGCGGTTCGATCCCAGGACTCGGCGGTGGACGGTCATACCGGGGCTTTGGCCGGAGAGTAGCGTGTCGCGGTTTAGAGGCTCGGTGGCGCCGCCGCTAGTGGCGGTGGTGGGCGACGTGCTGTACGCGTGGGATCATCCCAACGGTCTGTTGAAGAGGTATGAGAAGTTTGGCGGGAGGTGGACGGTGCTGGATGCGGCGGCGGGGCGGCGGGCAAATGCCGAGTCCCATGGATGGGGGCTAGGGTTTAAGGGCGTCGGGGAGGAGGTGTGGCTCATCGGCGGCTCCGAGCTGGATGTGCCGTTCATCGATGCGTGCCGCCCGGCGCGATCCGGCGGCGTGCTGTGGCGGCGCGTCGCGGAGGCGAGCCCCGTCGGCGACAACTTCGTCTACAATTGCGCGGTCATGAAGGCGTGATTCCAGCTCCGATCGGTGATGCAGGTGTGGAATTTCGCTTCTTCTTTGCTAGATCGAGCGAAGTATCTGATCAGGGGAGAGAGAGAGAGAGAGAGAGAGAGGTCTTGGAGGCTGGAGTAGAGGATTTCTTCGTCTTTCTTTTTTGGTAGAAAGGAAAGAAGGTCCGCCGCCTAGCGTAGATCAGGGGAGGGGAATTTGGCTCCTCCGGATTGATGGCATTGGAAGCTTTCTCTTTTCAGTGCGTTGTTTAGTCTTCGGAAAAGATCCTCAGGGAAATTCGCTCGCGCTCTTCACGAGCTATAGATGTGGTGTTTGTCTGTGGAAAGAGAGTCATCGCGGTTTTTTCCTTTTAAGGTTCGCCTTTTGTGCATTGCTCTGGTTTGTCGTGTTCTTGCGCCTGATGATCCCGATCCTTTCTTTTTCTCTTTCACGCAACTTTCTTTCTTGGATCAGATCCCGTGTCATCGAATTCGTGGCAACCATTAGACAAATTGGAGTAAACAATGGAGACCACCATCAATCATCGTCATCATCATTTCGGTTACTTAAGAGAGACAAGGCAAGAGGTGGGCGATCTAATTCCCCTCCCTGTTCTTTAGAGTGTTCTTTTCTTCTTTGTCTCATGGATTGTCTTTGCTTGCTGTGGATCATCTGAATTTGGCTGTGAGGCTGTGGATTCTTTCTGCGTCCTTGTGGGTCCGTGGCTTGAATTTTATTCATTGAAGTCACGATCGATTGCTTCCCTGCTTGCGTTTATGACGCTCCTAGTGCGCTGTTTTTGCTTAATTTTGTGGGTTTTCTTTGCTTGATTCGTCTCTCCCGGACCACCATTGTCAGACAAGTTTTGGATGGATGGATGGCGTGCTGGAAGGCAAGAGAAAGTCTCTCTCAATGTCTCCATGGCTTTAAATCCATCCATCCTTCTCGGATCCAAGCCGAGAATCTCTTGTGGATTGTGGAATCACTTCTCGAAACAGTGGCTGGTCACTTGTCAAAAAGCTTCCATGGTACTTCGCGTGGGTTTGGTCGGATATTTGCATTGGTTGATGTGCTGCCGGTCAAATTCCATTCTTTAAGTTGTTTTCGTGTGGCTGGCTGGCCGGGAGATTCACACTGGATCTCGCGTTAATTGTGCCTTCCCGGTCTTGCTGTGACTCAGATCACATCATGGAAAACTTTCCAAGCTCAATCAGTCAGTCCTCCCTTTTTTGCTTGAAACTCCCATTCTTCTTTGGTTGCTTGCTCGCTTCAATCATTCCATCTTCTTTGCTAACAAAGTCATCGAAATGGTGGAGTCCGCCGTTGCTATGATAACTTCATAGTCACATTTAGACCGCTTTCTACTAGAAAAAACAAGACAAAATTAAAATAAAAATAAGAAAGATAAGTACAAAAAAAAATCACAACTAGTGACGATGCTCTGCTTAACCTTCCTCCTCGTCATCGTCGTCTTCGTCGTCATTTCTTCTTCTTCGTTGTCTTCATCATCCTGTTCTTGATCGAGGCCGTGTTTCCGCAGAGCATCCTCAACTGCGCATCCTCATGCAAGCAGGGAAAGGCGCGGATCCAAACAGCATCGTAAGATCTGCAAGCGCCCCTTCCTTGAAGACTTTGTGATGCCGAGGTTTGCAGAATAGAACGCCAGAGCAAGGGATAGGATGTCGTCTCCTCTTTGTAAGGCTGCATCGAGCTCGATGGCGAGTGATAGCCGCGAGTGCCAACCTTTCTCCTCAATTCCTGACGATCAGTTTTGAAACAGGTGACGTCGTAGTCATTGATCTTCAATACATTCCCTCTAAACACCATGTCTGGCTTCACGTCTCGATGCAGGATGCCTTTCCCGTGAAGATCCCTCAGACCTTCGAATGCCTGGTTCCACATCATCCCAGTTGAAGTTAAATCACTTACATGCTTCGCTTCCCAAATCCGTCCAACTCCAAAAGCTGGAAAAGACCCTCCCTGTTCCCGACGTCCACAGTCCCCCAGTTCAGTAGTTGCCGCAGATTAGGATGATCATCCGATGCTGAATGTATCTCTCTCTCGGTGCCAGCATCTGCAGGCAAACATATCTTCAACGCTGTTGAGCGCGATCTCCTGAGCATGACAAGCGACTTGCGGCCATAAGCGACGATGTTCAGGTCTGAGATGCTGATGTCGTCGTTGTGTGCTCCATGCAAACGAACAACTGAAACCCGTAGACCATGTATCTCCCGCAGCTGCTCCATGTATGCAACCAACGTCGAGAATCCCGCTGACGGCATGCCAGGAAGGATATCACAGAGCCTAACGCTCCCCAGCCTGCTCTCGCTGTCGTCCAAATCCCTCAGCTTCATCAGTATGAAGGCGGGATTCATCAGGGCCAACTGCTGCGGGGTTTCATTGGACTTCTGCGGTCATGGGAACTCAGGACTCACCTCCACACTTCCGTCTTGTCACAAATATTTCACCACCCAGAACCTGTCCATAGCCACAGGTTCATCTCCCTCTGTTGATTCCACATATTCAGCTTCTTGCCCAATCAAGAGTGAATTGGACTCAACTCCTGTCGGATCACTGTTATTTCCGTGCTTGACTGAGGTCTTCACTTCGGTTGGAGCCTTCATCTCGGTGCACACAAAGATCCGACGGTGAAGATCCGACGTCTTTACCTTTCCCTCTCCCTCTCCTCCAAAGTGCAAAGCCTCCTGGATGATGAAGACAACGAAGTGAGGATCGTAAGGATGATGAAGACAAGGTAAACTCCTCCAAAGTGCAAACCCTCCTGCCCAAAAGATGCCGCTTCCAAGAAGCACAGAATAGCAGGGTAGTAAGTCGCTTCCGCCACCTTAATCTTCCGAAGTCTAGCCGTCCGTATATGAGTGAGCTGCACTTTACCTCCTTTGACTAGCAAGTACAGCCACAGAAGGGCAACTAGAATCGGATTGGCATGGCCTAGCATTGTCTCCGGCTGCACACAAACCGGTTTATACCTGCTGATTGCCCTCTGTCTTTTACTGGTACTAGTGACATATGTATTGCTCGGAACCGTTCTTTACCTGAAAAACGATCTTTGGCACCAGTGACAAATGTATTGCTCGGAAGCCGTTTCTTACCGTTTCAGGAAGGAGCGAAGTGTGGCCGCTTTGTCCTGTGGAGTCGGAGGAATGAAGTACCTAGCTACCAGATGCACAGGCATTTCCACAAACTCCGAATGGATTCGTGCCTTCTCCTCGGCAGTGAGCGGCAAATCCCACAGCGCGTTCAAAAATGACTCGTCCCCCTCCATCTCCTCCATGCCCTAAGACTTTGCAAACCTTTATATTGACATGCACCAGCTCCACGAGCAGCGAGCTGTTGTGAGGCTGTGATAGCTGGAACGTTCCATACCAATTGGACTACCAGTAGCGAAGACTGGTATGAAACGTTCCAGCTATCACAGCCTGGAAGCCTACTGAGAAAAGCAAGAAGAGAAACGCCAAGGAGGCGGCCAACAATGACATTGCCGCCGACAATCCAGGAGGAGACGAGGCCGTCACAATCCCAATCTTAAACTTGCAATCCCCTTGCGCCGGATCCACGTCCGTGACTTTGCCGAGGCCATCGAAGTAGCAGCTGTTCCCGACCTGGCTCTTGAGCTGGTCTGTTGAAGGCATACGACGCATTTCCGTCGCCACCGCATACGACGCGTCGAAGACGTTGGTGTAGGAAAGAGCGCCGTCGACTGTCGGTGGCACGGCGAAGAAGGCGAACTCTCGGGGGAAGTTTGCATCCTGCTGCAGGCTGAGGAAGGGGTAGAGGTTGATGGTGAAGGGGCACTGGCTCTGATCGAGGAATGCCACCAGCTGGGACTGGATGTCGGGCCGGAAAGTGCCCACCGACGGTCACTCCGCCATTACTCAGCACGTCGGCCTTGAGCGGAACCTGATCTCGTCCGCCACCTTGTGCTTCACGAGCGCCTGGGGGATGTTCATCCCCGCCGGAAAAGTGGAGTTTATGAAGATCCCGTTGTAAGCCGTGAGGAAAGGCTGTGCCCGGTCAATGAGAGAGCGCGTGAGGCGGCCGGTTGGTTTGCGATGGTCCATCGCCCACCCACGAAAGCCACACCAGTGACCACGACCTTGTCATGTCCCGCTACAGAGAGAAAAGAGAGCTTTCCTCGCTACTTTGGGAAAGCTTTTTAATGAGCTTTGGATTCAGGGTGGACGAACAAAGCGCAGCGGGGGCCCATCCACCATGGGGGCCAGCGATTCTCAATCGATCCCACCGCGCAAAGGTACAAGAGAGAAATTGTTTGATTGCTCACCAGCCACCCAAGCGATATTCCTCGTGTAGTTTCAACAGCAGACGCGCATACCATATATACCAACAAAGGCGAATCTCTCTTTCCAAGCTTGTCTCATTAAGCGTGACTCAGTTAAACTAAACTAAACTTAAGAATTCCCACCAAAACTTATTCTGTAGGAATATCCCATAGAATAATTAAGCTTACCGTGATTTGTAAAAGTACCACATTTAAATTAAACTAACCCTAAACCCACCAAAAGAATATTCTGTAGAATATCCGAGATAGATATCTGAAGAATATGCCGTTTTTCAATTTTGGTCTTCGAGCTTCTGCGCGTCCGCGACGGGAGGGATGGCGTCCACCTTGTACCGCACGGTCTGCAAGTGTGTATCACGCTCGTCAATAGAAACGCTAGCGTGATCTAGGCGGCCTTACTTTTCTGTAGAATGTGGAGTAGGAGTTGTCCCAGACTAGTTTGTAAGATCCGACGCCCGGCGAGTAGAAGTTTCCCTGGAACGAGAACCAAGCTTACAAACTTGTCGAACGAACGAGTTATTTATCACGGACCTGGTGCGAATCATATCGTTGATATGGTAGCATTTGCTGCAGGGGGAGAAAGCTATCACGAAAGTATTGTGAAACCATCAAACGTACCATCTTTGCGCCGTTCGAGCTAATGTATTCGACGCTAAAGCCAACGTCCTGTAGAGATTTCAAGCCTTGTAAGCCGTCGCGAGAACAGGAATGACGAGCAAACCTTCCCGGATGTCAGTTTAAACTCCCACGCAACGTATGATCCCTCGCTGTCGACGGGCAAGAGAACCTGGAAGAACAGAGCTGTGAGATGCCTGAAGACCACGAAAAATTGACTCACCTCGTGAGTTTTCCCTGTGGAGATCACGGTTTCCTTAAAATCATTGACCATGGTCCTGCATAAAAGTAATTTTATCCAGGATCATCCAAACAAAGCCAGCTAGCTTACTTTCCCCCATTTGTTCCTGCTTCTTCCGCCGATATAAGAAACGGGGAATGCTCGAAAACTTCCCTGATAAATCACGAGAGCTTTTGGACAGAATCAAAGACTTCATACCTCAAAAATGTCAGAAAACGCTTGAGTTCCGACGAATAAAGCTTCACGGACTCCTCCAGCAAGTCCAAGCGGCTGTCTTGAGCCCTGCATTCAAGCTCAGAAAACCAAAGTCAGTAACAGGAAAAACTGCTAGCTTGCTTGCTTGCTTGCTTACGTCGTGTCACGATTAAATGTCTTCCACCACAAAGTCAGAAAGATTCGTATGTGCAAACCGAGTTGAGTAAGCTGATAAAGTGGTGGCCCGTACCGCTCCCGTTGCTCCTCCATGGGGCTTCACACACGAAAACAAGCACAGATTCACGATTTTAGAGACGACTCGATGCTGTCTTACCCGTTGTGATCATTTATTTGTTGCACGAAGTCCAGAAGGACCTGCAAGAAAAAAAGGACTAGCTCATACTTACACAAGGGCCGGACCAATGTACAAAACAGACCTGAGGCACACCGACGAGAAATCTTATCAGCGTCTTGTACACACCTGAAGCAGATCCCAGCATCACCAATTGCTTGCGTCTACACAGTGTCCAGACAGTCCGGTTAAAGCAGTAGAAAATGCCCCACCCTCTACCTTTCCATTTGTTGTTTCCACAGTAGATTATATTTTTCCTGAATGCTACCACCACCATTTAAGAGCGTTTCTACCTCGGCTTGCCGCTTCTTCTCGGAGCGGTCGCGTTGCTGCTTGATTAGAGACGCTCGAAAATCTTGAGGCATGTACGTAAGAACTGTCCACAAAGATGGAAAAAGAGATGAAGTACTTCACAGAAAAACGCTAAGCGTACTCATGCTGAAGATCTTTTCAGAGCTGAAATACTGGTAGTCTTCAATGAACTTGAGCAAGCTCTGTAGCTCCAGAGCTAGCTTGTAAAGCTTGTCAGGCATTTGTGGTCCATTTAGCTGGAAGAAAAGGAAAGAAGAAGCAAAGAAGTCATACAATTCCACAGAGAAGAAAGGAAAAACTTACAGAGGAAGGCCAGTGCCTCTTCTCCAGCAAATACAAAATCTCCTCCACTTGCTCCCGGTTCTTCCACAAGTTCTCGTCGATCTTGTGAGGCGAATCGAACGACAAGTCAAGGATGAGATCGTTCCCTGCCAGAATGCCGATGCGCCTAAACGAACAGGGGCAATTCCAAGTGACTGACCTGATTCCTCCGCGTAATGCTTGCTCATCCGCTCATTCTCCTCGCGGAGCTGCGAATCCGCCGCGGCGATCCCCGGCGCGAGCGCCTCAAACGGGTAGCGATCGTAGAATCTGGATAGGAAATCCCGGGTGATTGGCACCAGACCTTCCGTGGAAGCCATCCCCGGAGCTCTCCCCTCCTCTGCTCTGCTTTTGACAAACCCTAGAGAACGAATTATGCCGGGAATATCCGCAAAGCATTGGAATGTCCCTTTCGAAAGGATGAGCTTCGTGGTACGAAATTTTCTATTAGAAAAACGAAGAGAACGAACGAAGAGCTCTTTCAGCACTTGAAAATACGCTTCGCTTCGTCGAGCCATGTATCGTAGTAGTCCTGTTCTTTCAATACAAAATGGACCTGTGATTCAAGCAAAACAATGGTTTTTGACGAAGAAACAAATGAAAAAGAAAACCATTTTTTTACCTCCCGGATGTCTCCGTGATTCCGCAAGCATTGCGTCAAGGCGATCTCAGCTGCTTCGTCGTAAGGATATCTGATTGATCATCTCGCGAGTGAGTGAAATCGATCGTTTGGAAGTGAGTCATACCCGTAGAGGCCGCAAGACATCGCAGCAAAGCAAATGTATTTCACTCCTTCCCGGTTGGCGAGCTCCAAAGCACTCCTGTTTGTTTTCACCAGGAAAGTGTTACTTACAAGGCTGGAAAACTAGAAAGCGTGTCCCACCTGTATGCGCTGTTGAGATCCCGGGGTGAAGCATCGTCTCTCTCCTGATAGACTGGAGCCACAGCGTGGATGACTCGAGAAACCTTGAGGTTGAAAGCCCTGGGAAGTGGAAGTCAGCGTTGAGAGCTCGGGTTTCTACGATACCTAGTGACGACCGCTGCCCCGATAACGCATTTCACTCCTTGAGGTGCCATATCCGGCAGCTTTGCACCGGCATCAGCGAGCCTCGGGCCAGCAGCTCTATGAATTGCTGCAACACAGGGACGAAAATCAAAACCGAGTTTTTAGATCGCGAAAAAAGAGTGTATGGTTTCTCTCACCTCCATTGATCCCCAGGCCAGCATTCACTTTCTTGTTTGCTGGAGCAACCTAAGCACACAATTCGTAAGTTTCATTTCATGTAAGAACCAGAGAAGAACAAAAACAATGCGAAAAACCACGCTAAAGGAGAATAGGATCAAAAGGAAAAACCATAACCAGGAAAAAAGGAACAAATTAATGAGAGCCAAAGCTAGAGAAGAAACGAAAAGAACTAACAAAAGTATTGAAAAACCACTCGAGCATAGACTAAAGATCGAAACCAAAACCAAAAACCAGAAAAAAAGAAGAAAAACCATCAGAGCCAAAGCTAGAGAAAAAACGAAACGAATAGCAAAGAACGAACTAAGGATCAAAGGAAAAACCAAGAACCAGGAAAATAAAGAACAATCATAAAGCTAGAAAAAAATAATCGGAAAAAAATTGGAGAGAACTTACAATAGCATCAGTTTGTCCATCGACGTGCCAGATGACTATATCTCCCTTCCACATAACGAGCGTGCAATGGTCGCTAAGCTTGTACTTGACTCCACCCGTGAGAGGCTCTGGCGGCTTTGGGGGCTCAGTGCTCACCGGAGGAGACCTCTGCCAGTTATCAAAGTGTGGGCGCTTGTGAGGCAATCCATCCGGCCGCATTGCCGCCCGGACGACCCCAGCTCCAAATCCGGGGCTCGCATCGTGCCGAAACAACGCCGTGGAGCTCGTCTGGAATGCGCGCGCGCTTCCAAGGAATCCAGAGCTCCCGAGCCGGAGACCGGACAGCGGCGCGACCCTGAGCTTGCTAATCCCCTGCATTGGCGCTACCACCTGGTCGATCGATCGATAAGACCTAGAAATTTCGAGCTAGAAATCGCTGATCGAACGAAGAATCGACGAAAACTTTACCTGCGCCTCAGCGCCTCCTCTAGGGTTTATCAGCGGTTCTTTAATCGTGACCGCTCATCTCTTATCCCTCTGGAAAATATCTTACGGCATAATCTCTAGACGGTCGCGATGCGCGCGATCTCCCGGCTAGGTGTTTAAACCCTGGAAGGGCTCTTCCCTGGCGCCAGGGTTGGAGCGAGCGAGTGCGTTCTTGAGGTATGGCTCGCGATTATGGTTTCTAGTATCGCCAGTAGCTCTTTCGTGGAATTTCATCACGTTGTTTATGTAGAATCCGTGGTCTCTCTTGCTTTCCCTAGTTCTGTGTGACAATGCGTGGTTTCTAAGTAGCTCTTGTGTGGGATTCATCGTGTTCTTTGTGTAGAATCCGCGCTATCGCTCGCATTTCTCTTGCTTTCCCTAGTTCTGTGACTCTCTTCGTTTGCTGGGATTTGACATCTCTTTCTTCCAGGAATGGCGCAAGCCATACAGGTCGGAGCAATCCGGCTCGCCGCTCCTCTACCGGCATTCTCTTCCAGCTTCCATGGCGAAGCCAGCAGCAAGCATGGAATTTCGTCCCCGCCTCTACACACCAGGCCATCTTCGTCAAGGATAGTGATTCGTTCCGTCTATCCTTCTGACCCATTTCCTCCTAGAATTCCAAGACAAGGCCAGCCAAACGAGTACAAGCTTCCAGTGGAGGAGTACTACACACCGCCGCCACCTCCGGTGCCTTACTATGGTCCGCCGCCGCCGGTTAAACCACCGCCGCCACCACCGAGGACTCTCAATCCAGACAAGCTGCCACCAAAGTCTACGAACGCCGAGCCGCCACCTCCAGTTCCTGAGAACAAAGGTCTCTCGGCTCTGGGAATTCCTGAGCTCGACCTTCCCGAGCCTACGGATAAAGATGGAAAGCCGATCAAATCGACTTACAGGTCCCCCTATGCGAAGCCGGAGCCACCACCGCGACCATACCACCCCGAGAGGCCGACGAACTCGAGGGTGATCGAGTGGCTGAATCCTCCGCCTCCACCGACGGAGCTCATGCAGCGAGAACAGTTCAAGCTCTCGGATACGTGCTCCATGACGATCTACTTTGGAGACATTACCAAATGGCGAGTCGACGGTGCTACTGATGCCATTGTAAGTGTTGCCTCCTCTTCTTTTGGTGGATGATTTTGGTTTGCTCTTTTGCATTCTCAGGTGGCTCCTGCGAACAAGAAAGTGAATGCTGGAGCTGCTGTTGATGGAGGTATGCTGCTTTGCTTGGAAAACATGTTGGATTCAAGCTGACTGCTTTGCTCTCTTTTTTCTAGTTATTCACAAGGTTGCTGGGCCGAGGCTCTTGTCTGCCTGCCAAAGGCTTCCAGACGTCGCTCCTCATGGCGTTAAGTGTGAAGTTGGGCAAGCAGTCAGCACAAAGTATTTCATTTGCCGCAAGTTAGATTTTTTCCTCATTGTTCTCTTTCGTGTTTTCTTGTGCAGAGCTTTCAATCTTCCTGTTTCGCGAGTCATCCATGCCGTAGGTCCTGTGTATGAAGGGAGGGAGTCGGATGCCGACTTAGAGAAAACTTACGCGTAAGTTTCTATTTGATTTGAGCTGGAGAGTTCCACCTCACTCGCATCGTTTGATGCTTCAGCTCGGCGTTGGCTCTTGCTGCGACGGAAGGCATCAAGCACATCGTGTTCCCTCCCCTCTCGTGCCGAATCTACGGGTAAAAATCACTCTTTTAATTCGTTTTCTCTTTGTGAATGTGGAGCTACGCAGGTATCCTTACTCGGAGGGAGCTGAAGTAGCGTTGAAGGCATTGAAAAACGGCTGCCAGGGTTTCACACAGGTAAGAACTTGCTCAAACTTTGGCACTGATCTTCTCTTCTCCATCAGATTGACATCGTGATAAGGAACATCGAGGGGTATGATGCGTTCATCGACGAGGCAAACAAAGTCCTGGAAGCGATCAAGGAGAGGAAGACGATCCCAATGCCACCGCCGCCTCAAGAACAGCAGTCGCCAATTCCATATCTCTAGAAGGAAGGTTTTTCCAGCAATGAGACAAGAACATTCGGAATAGATGCCCACTTTAAAGCTAATGCCTTTTAGGGTTTATCGATTTAGCAAATGACGAGCTTGGCGCTCTTGAAGAGAGGGCTCCGATTCTCGCGGGAGAGCTTCGCTGCCGCCGACAACGTCGCTCGCCTCTACAATGCGGCCAATGGCGCGGAGGTCCATCTGATAGGCACGATGCACATCTCGCAGCGCAGCGCTGATAAAGTCCAACAGGTAATCTCCGCGATTTCTATGCTACGCGATTGACACGGGATTTTGCTCCAAATTCCTAGCTTATTCGATCGGTGAGGCCCAATATCGTCGCGGTGAGTGCGTGATTCACGATCGAGCTAGGCTACATTGTTGCTGCGACACAGGTGGAGTTATGTCCTTCTCGAATGGATTGCTTGTTGGAACCAGATGGAGGAGATGATGAGCCGAGGCGTGGAGTGATTCGAGAGTTTCTCGATTGTCCTGGAACTTTTGGAGAGAGGCTACTGCACGTCGTGCTTCACTTCTACTATCAAGGTGTGAGGGACGCCGGGATAGCAACAGCATCAGAGTTCGTGGTATGCATTCTTAAGCTAGAACTTTTCACTGTTCTCATGGTTTTTTTTTTTTTTAATTTCCTTTCAGGTAGCAGGCACTGAAGCTATGAAACTCGGTGCTGAGATTCATCTCATCGATGAGAACAGCAAGGTAAATATCCGTCTTTTTTGGGCTCGTTTTCTTACATAGATTAAAATGAAGGTCACTAAGGAGAGACTGAATCGAGCACTCACCATGCCTGTTGCTTTCAGGCTCATAAGAAAGCTCTGGACAATGAAAGAGTGCCAGGTGATGCTCCACGCCATACAAAACCGAAAGTTGAGTCTTCTCGAGTCCATGAACACGAGAGAGATTGCTTCGAGCTTGATTCGTGACCTTCGCCTGGAGTTCCCGGAAGTGGTACGTGATTCCTTTCACACGATTGCTTTCTCTAGCGATGCTGACCGTGGACAAGCCCATCAGGTTGATGCGGTAGTCGATCAGCGAGACGAGATCATGACCAAGAGATTGCTGTGCTGCGACGGGAAAATCGTCGCTGTGGTGGGACTGGCACATATGGACGGGATCGAAGACCGGTGGAATGCGTACCAGAGTAAAGAAGAACACTTGCAGGCTGTGAGAGACGATGGCTCGCTCTTCACGACAGTCGTAACTTTGTAGAAGACAACATCGTGATCGCTCAAGGTTTTTAAGGTGATCGACCTGTGGCAAAATTTTGATGTTTTCACTGCCAAAACCACTAGGAATTCTATGCTTTTTGCGATGAGAGATGGCTTCCAGGTGTTGTGTCAGAGTTTGATGTTGTCTTGGCCAGATTTTGATCGAGATTTGTGAGTACTCTTTGTTGCGAGGATCGATGGCTTCCAGGTGTTTGATCATAGCAAACATTGTGATTTTTCTCATCTTTGCGAGTATCTTTGTATGATCAAAAGAACAAACTACCCGTCGTTGGTTTGAAAATCACGAGACGTTATTGTTAGCCGGCATATTCCCGGCGCAACCGTCACGGTAGAATATTCCGGCATCCCTTTTGGTCATCCAGTTCAAAAAGATGCCTTCCTATCAGGGTTTTCTTGATTTGTTACGCGTCGTTTTGGCTATGGCGGTGAGAAAAAGGAGCGCTGCGGAGCGCGACCGCGGCGGAGGCGACGGCGATCGCACGGAATCCTCGTCGCTCTCGTCGATCGACGACATGGCGTTCCCCAATCTGTCGCGCAAGTACGCGATCGAGTACCAGATCGGCGATGGCGGCCAGGGCAGGGTTTTCCAGGTGAGGCGGCTGAGCGATGGGCGGCTGTTTGCGTGCAAGAGCGTGAGGGTGGAGGAATCCCGCGAGCTCGATCTGGTGCGGCAGGAGGTGTCGATCATGAAGCTGATCCAGAGCAACGGCGGCGTGAGATTTCGAGGCGGCGGTGGTGGAGGAAAGGGGATTACAGGTGGAGGAGGAGGTGGTGGTGCCGTGAGCCTCGTGGAGGTAATTGTAGATGATAATCGCGTGTGGCATCTTGTGCTTGAGTTGTGTGCGTGCAGTTTGCATGATAGGATCCAGAGAGAGCGAGGGCTTTGTGAGAGGGAGGCTGCGCTTCTCATAAAAGGCTTGGCTAAGGTTGTGCAGGGATTGCACGCTCTGGGGATTATCCACAGGGATCTCAAGCCTCCAAACATCCTCCTCTCTAGGGACTCCTTTCCATACGACGTCAAGGTTGCCGACTTTGGGCTCTCGGTGGCGTCCACCGGTGGTAAGCTGGATCACATCGTTGGAACAACCAAGTACTTGGCCCCCGAGGTGGTGAGGGACAGTAGATTCGACCAGGCGGTGGATATATGGGGACTGGGGCTCATCCTCTACGAGGCGCTGTCCGGGTTGACGGCCTTTGCGGGGCTCGACTCGGAGTTCGTGCTCGAGAGGCTGAGATGGGTCGACATGCCGGCTGATATGCTCGACTGGTCCGGCGTCGGGCTGGAGGCCAAAGAGCTGATTTTGGGGATGCTGTGCCTGGATCCAAAGAAGCGCTTGACGACGCAGCAGATTCAAACGCATCCTTGGGTGCTCAAGCACACGGAGGAAGGTGGCTTTGTTCCCAGGACGAGGATTGTGAAGCTCAAGCGGCTCAACGGCAAGTGGGTATCAGATCGAGGTGGTAGTGTCCAGCAGCAGCAGCAACAGCAACAGCAACAGCAGCAGCAGCAGCGGCAGCAGCAGGAAAGAAAGAGGAAGAAGATTGAAGAAGCAACGAGGTCATACAGGAAGCTGAGACTCAGGTGTGTAAATGGTGCGTGGCAGGTTGTAAAGCCGTGTCCAGTTGCGGGGTAGAAGCCATCCACAGAGCTCGAGTCCTACCTCCGAAAGGGAGTATTGTTGGTGGAATCGGGTAACTCGACAACTCTTGTTGTAAGTTACTGATGAACTTGCAGCACAGGGGAGCCCTCACCGCGCCTCGGCTCGCATCACGGATCGGAACACCTTTGACATGTTTTTTGTGTCGATCTGTGAGAAAAGCATGCGGGCGGGCTTCCTCTCCGGGGCTGTGCAGCGAGGAATGCAACGTTGTTCCTTACAGCAGCAGCGGCGGCAAAGGTAGGTGCAATTGAGCTCTCGTTTAGTTTGTTTTTTCACTCACGAAACTTAGCTATACAGCAAAACAGTGCTGCCGTGTCGCTTCGTGTAAAACGCAAAGCGCGCAAGGTATTGAATTGTATCGTCATTTGGAATATATGATGCTGTTTTTATTTCCTCTGTATACTTGCAGATTATAAGCTAAAGCCACACATAAAGGGAATCAAGTGGGGTTTTTCTTTTCCTTTCGTTTTTTCATAAGTTCTTTGTTTTGCTTGCAGTTCCAGCGATATCTGTGTGCTCGTGTAAACATCTTTCTAAACTAAATGACACAGTTTCGGGCTCTTTCTACATTGAAAGGGTGTGGCTGTCAATCTCGCCTCACTTTCATGACTCCCTTACTACTTAAACGAGTAGTGGACATTCTAGAGCTCACTCGGAAGGATGTTTCGTCTCTTCTTTGTGCTCCTGGTGCTCCTGGCAGATGCGAGAATGGAGGACCAGCTCAAGCCGTTCTTAGTCTCGCTCCCGGGGCAGGACCACTTCGAATCATTCCAGGAGCTTGCATCCCTCGACCAACTTGCGCATCTCAAGTTGCTCAATGGACTTCCTGGGCAAAGGCAGGCTGTGCACATCAAGAGCTTTAGCCAAGGTTCCTTCTACGCTTTGATGACAGATAAGCAGGCCAACTTTCTCCGAAGTAAGCTCCATAGCCTTTGTTTCCAGATTTTATACGTAACTTGTTTGCTCTACTTTGGCAGGAAGAGCGAATGTTTCAGTGCATTCAGCGCCTGACTCGTACATTGAAACAACGCGGACGTGGAAGTTCATCGGTGGAATCGATGGCGTTTCTGGTCAATGGGGTGATGACTCGATGGCGAAGAAAAACCTGTCTGACTCCAGCTCCCGCATATGGAGGTCAGCAGACTATGATCCAAATTATCTCTTCAACCCCGGAGACACGTCTCTCTGGGCCCAAACTGGGTATGGCAGTGACTCAATCATTGGAGTTATAGATACAGGTTTGTGTACATTGATCATTCTCTTTCTTTTGAAGTTAAAAGTTTATGATTTTTCCAGGCTTCTCGCCGGGGTTAGAAGCCTTTCGAGACAAAGACATGTCTCGAGCCCCCAAGAGGTGGAAAGGCATTTGTGAGGCGGGACAACAATTCCAAAGCTACACATGCAATCGGTTTGTATATATCGTGTTTTCTCTTTCTTCTAGTCTTCTCCTAGAGCCATTTGTTTGTCTTTCTTTCTGCAGGAAAGTTATTGGAGCTAGGTTCTTCCTTGGAAACGCAAGGCGAGTACAAGCATACTTGGACGTCAACTACTCTTTGGCAGCAAGCGACATTCGCTCTCCTATCGACACAAAGGGCCATGGAACGCACTGTGCATCAACAGTAGGAGGAAGGCAAGTCCACAACACAGGTTTAGCCTCTGGTATGGCTGTGGGAGGAGCTCCACTTTGCAGGCTCGCAATCTACAAAGCATGCTGGAACCGATGCAACTATGCTGACGTATTCGACGCTTTTGTAAGTGCCATACGTGATGGTGTGGATGTTATATCCCTGTCTTTGGGCGCTGGGCTAGGACACGATGCTGGTAGTAGGGGTGGTTTCTTAGCGCAGAAAAAAGGAATACCAGTTGTGGCGGCTGCTGGAAACGAAGGACCGTATGGAGAGCTATCAAACCAGGCGCCATGGCTGCTGACAGTTGGAGCTTGCACACTGGATAGGGACTTTATAGCTGAAATGGAGCTTTGGGACGACGATCAACATTTTTCCAAAACAATTCAAGTTACATCACTCAGTGAGGGAGCTATATGGCCTGAAGACTCCTTCCTAAGGTTCGATACGTTTAACTTAACGTACAGCTCAACGACTCATACCTGGGGACGGTAATATCTTGATACTTCCACAATATTTAGTTTCAGTCTAAAAGAGTTATATGCAGGTTTTGCAAAGAAAGTCGTGAGAATATGCAAGGAAAGATTGTCATTTGCCACGAAAGCAACAGTGCTAATGCAGCACTTTATTGGGGAGGAGCTGCAGCAGTTATTTTGGTACACACCCCCTTCATAGTACGGCAGGACTATCGAGGGCTCAAACCCATATTCTATGTCAGTTTTAGCGAGGCTGATATTCTTAATGATTTCCTCAAAACAGCAAGGTGAGTTATGTTGATTATAGTTTATTTTATATCATTCGTGCACTTTTGTAGATCACCTGGTGCCATAATTTCAAAGATAAAAACTCTTACTGGACTGACTCCAGCTCCCCGAGTGGCAGCATTTTCATCAAGAGGTTCACCCAATTTCTCAATCATCAAGCCTGATATCATTGCCCCGGGTGTGGATATTTTAGCTTCTTGGCTTCCAAAGGATGATGCTAAAAGATCGTTCAAGTTTCTAAGTGGTACATCGATGGCGACGCCTCAAGTTGCTGCTATAGTAGCCATGCTAAAAACTTTACATCCAACTTGGTCCCCAGCAATGATCAAATCTGCAATTATGACCACAGCCTCTCCATTAGACAATACAGGAGAACCTATCAAGGATTTCGATGAAAAAGTGGCAACACCTTATGCCATGGGGGCTGGTTTTATTAATCCAAGTGAAGCAATGGAACCAGGTTTAGTGCTGGATTTCACTGATTTTATCGAAAACGACCTGGATTGCAAAGATTGCAACTATCCATCCATAGTTGTGACGCTATTAAAAAGCCAGAAAGTTGTGGTTAAACGGACATTCACAGTGGTTAGTTTTCCACCTCTACCCAAGGATTACCTATTCTATCACTTTCTAAAGCATGACATTCCTTCTGAATTGAACGTGGAAGCACCACATATGGTTTTTGATCTGGAAGAAGGCGTGAAAGTGATAACTATATCTATAACTTTCTCTCTGAATGACACTACTATCACTGGAACACTATTTGGGTCACTTCTGTGGAGGTGCTATGCTTACAAACATCCTGGATATAAAGTTCGCCTTCCATTTGTTGTCAAAGCATAATAAATAAGAATCACTGTTCACACCAAGGATCAGAAAGAGTCCTTTGGAGATAGCCTTAGGTAAAAGAAATAGGTGCATACTTGATCTTGAAACACCAACAGCAAGAAGATTTAGCCTGTTACGACTAAGTTTTCAACCTTCGTTCTGACTCAGAAACAGCGTTCTCAAAAGAAACCTAACTCTTGCTTTGTTATTCTCTCCGCAATGCCAGAACATAGAATACCCACAGAAACTCTGTTAGTAGAAACTCCGGACAAAGTACCAAATGCTACCAAAAGGATGACTCCCTTTCTCAATCCTCAGCCATCTCCATTCGGGAGCAAATTGGCGTGCCTCGAAGTAAAGCGTTCTTTGGAGCAATGTGCCGGTACCAAAAGAACTTCCGAGGATTCAGTAACTTACGTAAAGAAAAGCTCTTGGATACATTTAAGTTCTCGCTGCTTGGTAGCCATATCCCATCTGGAAAAGTAAGATACAAAAGAGAAGACGAGAGAAGGCTCCCAGCCTGGCGACTTCATCTGTGAATCTAACGAGATCGTTACTCTTTGTCAAACTACTTCTGGATGCGCCTATTCCCTGGACATCCTTAAGCCTGGAGCCGCCGGTGCGCTATCTAGCCAAAGTGCTCTCTGCTAGACGCCTCACCAAGAGGCGCTACGGTCCATCGTCAAGTAAGCCACAGGAATGGAAGGCTCTTCAGTCCTAGGAACTCTAGATCCTCTCTTCGGGCCGTAAAAGCTACGAGGAGCTGCGCGCTTGCAGGATCCAGCCGGGCGCCTTGGCCAGTGTAGCAGCCCGCACAACCTACAAGCAAGCAGTGGATGTTGCTAGCAATGGGGCTCCACCACTGTGTGGAGAATGGAGAGTGTGAAGAGGCCTTGGAACTTTCCCTCGCATAGAGGACGTCGAGAGCCTTGCTCCGAATCCAGCGACTTATCTGGCAGCGATCAAAGTTGGCTTGTCATGTTCAGAGACTGATCACTGCCAAGTCCGAGCAGGATGGAAGTAGCCGTCGAATATAATCCGCTTGGTGCACTGTAGAACTGAGAGAATATTCCAACTTTAGCCACGTCAGTAGTAAGTCACGACAGGGAGAAGTAAAAGGAGATTGTATGTGACGTAAGAATAAAAATGCCTGTCCTGAAGATTACCAAGAAGGAGTACGCCTGATGGTGTTAAGGCTGTGCCATCAAGAAGCAAAAAACTAGCCCAAGAACCAAAAACCTTAGTAGCAGGCCAAGTTAAGCTTCGGTAGGTATTAGACCTCCCAGTCTTCACTGGTGCACTGCCCGGGAAGGATTAGCTGTGGATCCAGCTAAGGTGGCTATTGTGAAGAACTTGCCTTAAAAAAGATCTTGTTTCAATCAAACTACACTTTGACTACGTGTTGGCTACTATCGACGCTTCATCTACAACTTCGTGACTAAAGCTTTGCCTCTGACGAAACTCTCGTGCCTTATGAGTGGACACTCGAGCTTCTCCGGGGAGCTCTGATCACTGCTCCGATTTTAGCCGTTCCTGACTGGACAGTTATTTTCCACGTCCACGTGGATGCTTCTGCGCTGTTCTTTGCCAGCCGGGGGGCATCGATCACCCTACACTCGACGAAGATGGCAAAGGGAGGATTCCTTGGTGCTCCTCATGATCTTTGCTATTCAGAAGTATTTGTTGGGCACACACTTCAAATTTTTCGTGGATCACCAAGCACTCAAGTACCTAGTCAACAAGCCTTGCCGCATAGGTCGAATCTCCCGCTGGCTGATCATCCTCCAGGAATTCGACTTCGAGGTGATCCTGAAGCCCGGCCGCGCTCATGCCATGGCCGATCTTTCACGATTGCCATGCCCTCCCTCCTCCCAGGATCTTGAGGATGACCCAGCTGGTGCTGCTCTGTTTTCTTGCGACACCACGATCGCTTTGCGGCCGACGCTGTTCCTGAATGGTATCAAGGCATTGCAGATTATCTGGCTACCGGCGAGTTCCCTGCTGACTTTACTGCCACCGAACGCAAGCGACTTATTATCCAGGCTCGTCCATACTCTCTCCTGCATGGCCAGCTCTACATCCTCGGCCGTGACGACGTTCTACGCCGCCGTATCCTTCCTCACACTGTCAGCACTTCATGCCATAATTCACCTTAAGGCCACTTTTCATCTGAGGCAACAATTCGTTTAGTTCTTCAAGCTGGCTATTGGTGGCCAACGCTTCACAAGGATGTTGCTACCTACGTTCAGACCTGTGATCCCTGCCAGGGTGCTGGTCGCCCAACTCACCGCGATCTGATGCCGCTTAATCCTCTGCTTCTGGTGCTTCCTTTTGAGAAGTGGGGCATCGATTTTGTGGGACCGATCAAGCCGGCCAGTCATCCTTCCTGTTGTCGCTACATTCTCGTTTGCATGGACTACGTCACAAAGTGGGCCGAGGCTGAAGCTCTCACGGAAGATACAGCCAAGGTTGCGACTTTTCTTTACAAGAACATCATCATGAGATTTGGCTGCCCTTTGGAGCTGGTGAGTGACCGAGATACTCACTTCATCAATCAAGTGATCGAGACCTTGGTGGAGAAGTATGGCATCGCTCATCGCTACCACCCTCGTGCTTGGTGCGCACCAACAAGATATGTGTGACATCATCATGAAGCTCGCAAGTGCTTCTCGCACAGATTGGGATCACCGTTTGCTCGATGCACTCTGGGCATACCACGTTGCTTACAAGGTCACCACCAAAGCTTCACCGTTCCATCTTGTTTATGGACAAGAAGCCATCCTGCCGCTTGAGCTCGAGATTCCCTCTCTCCGTATGGCTGTCGAGCACAACTTGGACTGGGACAACACTCTTCAAGCTCGACTGGACATGCTTCTACAGCTCGACGAGCGTCGACTTCTCGCTTTCCAAGCTCGCGAAGCACTTCAGAAGTGCCGCAATGGTATGATCGTCATTTGCGTGCTAAACAGTTTTCTGCTGGTGGTTCTGCTGTATGATAGCAAGCACTGAAAAAAGCATGGGAAACTACGTGTTCACTGGCTTGGGCCATATTGCATTGTTGAAGTTTTTTCTAACGGCTCGGTCCGGCTTGAAGATTTCAGTGGGAACTTCTTACCAACTCGTGTCAATGGTGCTCGCTTGCGCAAGTACCATGAGTGAGATGAAGCTGCCATGGAGCTATGTGCTCTGGGACGGAGCCCAATAGGTGGGGGGTGATGTAGATTCCAACTTTAGTCATGTCACTAGTGGGATTGTATGTAATGTATGTCTGTCCTGAAGACCAAGAGGGAGTGCACCTGGGCTATGATGGTCCTGAGGCACATCAAGAAGAAGCTATACTGTTGATGAGAAGCCAAAAACCAGCCTAAGAACTAGAAACTCTGGCAGCCCTGCTGCTGACCTACACAGCAGCAGGGCTGCCGGGGTTTCTGGTTCTTGGGCTGATTTTTTGCTTTTCGTGTTGATGTGCCTCAGCACCCAAGTATGCTCCCTCTTGGTAATCTTCAAGACAAACATCTTTATTCTTACCTTATATATAATCCCTTTTTACTTCTCTCCTTCTAACTTCCCCATCATGACATGGCTAAAGTTGGAATATTCTCTCAGTTCTACATGCACCATTCACGACTTGATTTTATCAACTTTTACATAGTGCATCACAGTGTTCGTCTACAATTTCCTCTGGCTTCAAAATGCTGCACAAGCTTGATATGGAAGAAATTCAAAAAGTCTTAGATTCAATGGAAAGAAAACTCTTAGAAAACAATTTAATTTGTGCAAAATGGGCAAACCATATTATATCGTTCAGTATTATAACTTTATATTACAGAACTACTATGCATTACTTCACCTAGGGAATTTTATAGGAATTAACCAAACATGAAATTTCATTTTATATATTTGACAATTACAACTTTAGGGTTCTTTAGTATCCAAGTGGCATTATAATAATTACTGCCTAACTTGGCTTAGTTTCATAATGCCATACAAAATTATGTTCTATGAGGATGGAGCAAATTGATACTTCACTAATTCATAATAAGGAAGTTTTTTAAGTGTATAGAATATAGAAATGTACATATTTAATAAGCTTAATAACCTCAGATTATATATATGAATGAGTGGTCCATATTAAAATCAATTTGACAACTATGAAAAACTATATTAATAATTTTATATGGCATTGTCATATCATCACCTCCTCTTTAAATGATGGAAGGGAAATAAGATTCTCCTATCGATAAGTTGAGATTTGGAAGAACACCAGGAGGACACACTATTGAATTTGTAGGTGGTGTAATTTCTTTTTAATCCTTTTATACATATATAATTTTTAGAGGATTTATTTGTTAAATACTATGTCAAATCTTATAAACTTGTAATCTAACTTGCTGCAACACTCAATATAGTCCTTTCCATTAGGTATAGAGCCCTTTAAGCAAACCACTTATTATAAGATTAGGAAAAATAAACCAACACCAAATCATTCATATTGATGGATGATATGAGAGTTGTAGTATTATTATTATCCCACTTGTATGTGACTTAAGTATTCAATAGACTCTACTTGAACCAGTAGAAAAATACTCATTAAATATTAATTTCAAGATTTAGCATCATTGACAATCATAAAAACAAACTCAAATTGATTAGCAATATATGCATAACTATATATGAGTTTATATAGTGAAACACTAATAGAACTTTACACCCCCATAACATATGTGTACTAGAGAGATAATAAATAATCATCCCAATCTAAATATTAAAAGTCATATACTTTGTAATTATCCCCTTGAAGGTCTAAATGAGGAATTCTACCAAACTATTTATTTATGGATACTAAACATTCATGAAAGTGTGGTATATCAACAGCCAAGACATTAAGATGTAAACTACTTTAACCATAAATGCAAAATTATTATCTAAGAGAATTCATTTCAAACAAGAATGCTAAAACATTACTCAATTAGAGAGGAAGTATCTAATAGCAATTGTAAATGCATTAATAAGAGCACAAACTTCCACCTAAGAA